AAAAAAAAGCCACAGGCTTGTGGATGTGAGGGTGCAGGAATTTGGGTTGAGGTATGTGAGGGGCTCAGTGCAGGGGGTTCCACTGTATGATAGGCTCAGATCTAGGGTTGGGTTGTGTGTGCAGGAGTGTTATGATGCTATGGCCAGATTGGGGGTTGGCCCCAATTTGGGATTTGTTGGCCAGGCTTCATTTTTAAATAAAATACCATGTCAAACACAAAAAGTTTCTTCCATTGTCTTTATTTATGAGAAGGGCAGGGAACCTGTTTTGAGTCGGGGTCACTGACCCACAGAAAAGTCAGTTGGGGCCACACAAGGGAGATGCAAAAAAATAACTCCTCCAAGCCCCCTTCCCCCCGCAAGCCTCACTAATGTGGCACCAACGGTGCTGGTGGGAGCAGGGGACATTGTACTGGGGAAGGGTGCTAGTGGGCATGGGACAGGGTGCCAGTGGGGGTAGGGGATAGGGTTCTGCAGCAGGGGACAAGATGCCAGTGGGAGCAGGGGACAGGGTGCTAGTAGGTGCTGGGGCAGAGGGCAGGGTGCCAGTGGGGACAGAGAGCAGGGTGTCTGGGGATGACTCCCCTCTCCGTCCCCTGCAAGTTCCTGGCATGCCACAGACCTGGAGGAGGGGAGCAGCCAGCACACTTCCGGAACTCTGCAGCTGCAGGACTTCTGTCCACCCCGCAGGAAGCCGGCACTACCTCCATTGTTGCTGGAGATAAGGGGGGGAGGGGCGAATGCCTCGCGATCGACAGGTTTGTGACCATGGTCTTAAAGTGTCACTGTGGCCAACTGAATTGTCTCGGTTAGTTGGATGCTGTGGCCATTGCATTTTTGCCTATACTTGATGCTTTGCCCATCTTCTGAATTCTGCCCCATTACACCATGCAGCTTAAAGGATATACACATTGGGGCAGTTATTTTAACTTCCTGTTTGAGGGGGGCAGTAATTTTTAATGGGGACGGGAGAGGGTTTATCACTAGTGTTTTTGTGCACATTTTTTTTTAGAGAACACAAATTAAAATTTATATAGTTCCGATCACTAGTGTTTTTGTGCACATTTTTTTTTTTTTAGAGAACACAAATTAATATTTATATAGTTCCAGGGTAATGGTTATTGAGAACAGAACAGAAAAGTGGACAGTAATATAGTTAATATATAGTTAATTTAAATAGCAATAAATCACAGCCTTTCTTTTCGATTTACTTGAAGCATTAATTTTAATAGCTAATTTCACAAGCTTCAGTGCAGCCTCAACTGTCATTTTGGTAACTCTTATTGACAGTAGTTAAAAATAATGTATGAATATAGATGTGTAATAGTGGCTCTGAAGGCAGCGCAGAAGTGAAGATAGTAATATCACAGCTCCCTAAAATAACCTTGTGACCCTCAAATTGAGAAGTGCTGGTCTCCCATGTAAAATCTGTATAGTATAGGGTAAAAGTACATGAAAGACCAGTTTTCACAGTCTGTGATGCATTTTTCATGGCCATTTATTTGGTGTGGAGACCCAGCTATATTCTATAGTGAGTCTATACAGTTATGCTAAGAAAATATACAGATTTTTGACTTGTGTTTGTAAACAAAGTTATACTCCTGACAGTAAATGTAATTTGGCCTCTGTGTGTATAGTTATTTTTATAACTATGTAGACTGTTTACTTATAAGCTATAATATCTATTTGCAACATGGATAGGGTTGCCAGATACTTTAAAAAAAAATCCCAAACATATCAGGAAAAAAATTTTTTGAACCCCCCCCCCCCCAAAAAAAAAGTTGCTGCACCTTTAAATTCCCATGCTCCCTGCCAGATGTGGCAGGGGAAAAATGTTCCTGCCGGCCTCCCATCCGAGAAAAACAGAAAATACCGGACATTTTATATGTCCAATATTTTCTGTGTGGGTTTTTTTTTTAACTGGACAGAAGACGCAATTACCAGACTGTCCAGGTGAAAACAGGATACCTGGCAACCCTAAACATGGATGGGTTGAAGTTGCTTTTGGGGAAAAACATGATCCACAATGTGGAATTTTACATCATAAATAACCTAGAATTTGCATCTAATTGCTTTGCTTTTTTTAAAAAAATTATCTGTATACACTCCATTTACATTTATTTGAATATGATTCATTGCTTTTTCAAATAGTGTATAATGCAAGATAAAAATAAATGCCTGAGTGTGTTTGTTTGGATGTTACCATATTCAGATGTATTCAAACACAGGTCTACTTAGTGCAATGTGTAGGGTTCCAGATCACAAATACTTGTAGGTTTGTATGCCTGGCAAGCTGAAACATGGGGGTGGAGAAGCTCCAGCCTGTAGATGGGATCCGGGCCTCCTCTTATCTTCATGTGGCCTGCTGCAAATCTCTGCGCTGTGGGGCCAGAAGCCACAGTGTGTACTTGCAGCCCCTAGGTGCAGGGGAGATGAGGGAAGCTCGGCTTCATGTTCTGCCTCTGCTCCCAGTCACAGCTCCCATTGGTTGGGAAACGCGGCCAATGGAGCTGTGGGGGCGGTGCCTGTGGGTGGGGCAGGCATGCACTAAGCAGAGTGGCCTGCACATGGCAGCTACAGCTGGGAGAAGGGCACAAGCAGAACAGGCAAGGCGCCTGCCTTAGTCAAATTTCACTGCCAACTGTGAGCCACCCCAGATGAGCACAGTCCAGTAGGGTTGCCAGATAGTGTCAACAAAAATCCTGGACACAATTGATATAACATCACAATCTACATTACATCTTATTTAGAAAATACCGGACATTTATATTTTCTCAATTTGTTTCCCGAACAGAAAGCTCAAATACTAGACTGTCCGGTTCAAAACCGGACACCTGGCAACACTACAGTCCAGCCAGAGCACACACCTTGAACCCCCTGCCCCAGGTTGGAATCAACCCTACAGTCCAGCCAGAGCACACACCCTGAACCCCCCGCCCCAGGTTGGAATATCCACACCCTCCCCCTAAATCCCTCCAGACTCTGTACACTTACCCCCAATCACCTGCCTCAGGTCACGGCTCCATCTCAACTCTCTCCCTGCATATACATACCCTGAGCCCATTCCCACACTCCAGATTCCTTCGCTCCAGCCTAGAGCCCTCTCCTGTACCTCAAACCCTCATCCCCAGTAATGTGAGCATTACCTGATTGCTGCCACAGCCCGCCTGGCCCC